AAAAACCTTACTTCATTTATCTCGGAATTAAACTTCCTCTACAATTACTAGCAAAGTACAAAAAGAAGGAATTAAACTTCCTCTAAGACTACTACAGTAGAAATTAAACGCAATAAAATTTAAAATAGATAGATCATCTAAGAAGATGAACAGCGGATTCGAAGCAAGTTTCAAATGCGTCAAGAGAGTCTTCACGACAAACCCAGAGAATCTAAAATTAGTCACGTTCCAACGTAACGTTGAAATTAAACTCTTATCTCCGGTAATCGTCGAAACGAATCCGATTGTTTTTTCGGATCCTATACATACTGCTACACAAAAAGACAAGACGGTGAGAAAATTCTTAAGGGTTCCCAGTGAATAGTTCGGAGGTACGACCACTCTCAAAGATAGGGAAGAACATGGAAAAATTCTTTTCCTCGTGAGGGAAGATGGTGAATTTGATTGCTCGCTGAGATGGGAGGACATTGAGTAAGATCTCCACTCGGAAGGAATATCGTAAGTTAGCCATCATGGTAAAAACCGTGACAATAATCCTGGCATGAATACAAGAAAAACCATCTACGGAGTTGGCTTTAGACTGATTAGAGGATGGGTTAGAGTAGCATGATCTTGTTGGACTAGGTAGCCAACATATCATATTTATTAATGTCGAAAAGGAGATGAGGATGAGGTATCGGGAAAACGAAGGAGTGAAAGCTTTGTGATGGTGGATCCAAACCAGTGCAGAAATCTTGACCGGCGAGAAAGATATCGGCTGAGACAGAGAAGATGGGATGAGATCTTGGTGAAGAAGGAGATATTGCCGTCGCCGGAGCAGGAGATGAATCCGGAGACTGAGAACGGCCATGTTGTTGACAATGAGTAACAAGTGGCGGCGATATCACAAAAGCAGACGATGAAGAGAATATGTGCCACGATGCAGATGGATCCGATGGCTTTAGCGGATCCGGTGGGTCCGGTGGCTCAGGCGGAAGAGAAGGGTATTCTTATCCCCGAGACTGAAATCACCCGAAGCCGGGAGTGAACGAGGCTTTGATCTACTTGAGAGGAAATGCTCGGTGAGCACGAGAGGGATCGAAACAAGAGAGCAATCATCATCTCAAGCAGAAAATATCGCCGGCGAAGGATGAAAACCAAACGTTCTTCCCGAATGGAAGATGGATCGTCGGGAACCAAGAGGAGATCCCGAGAAGGCGGTGGCAGTCGAGTTTAGGCCACTAGGAAAGCGGAGCAGAAGCGGCGATGAACTTCTATTCTCATTCGCTGAAGGTTTGTAACGGCACCTCGAAACCAGTGTCTGGGAGAGGGTTACTTAATTAAAACAACACTAGATTTTGACCCATGCCAAATGTGGGATTAAATATTAAATATGTTTTTTAATCGGTTTTATTATTTAAATGTCTATGACAAAGCATATGATTTCTAATATTTATAAACTTACAAAAAAGGTATGCATTATGGATAAATATAATAAAATTAAAATTTTATCAAACATATTTTAATGCAATTAGTTTTAATATTTTTATCTGCAATATTGATCAAAACATATGAAAATGTTATTTAATTTCAATAAATTTTAAGTGTATAATTAATTTTATTATTCGTGTAAATTATAAAGCATGAGACAAATCAAATATTTTTTAGATTATATGAATTTGTCGGACATAACAAACGAAAAATATTATATGTTTTCTAATAATAAAATGTGTAAATATTTGTAAGTGTAATTATATATATATAATAGACTATCATAATTAAAATATTTTTATATATCATCTTAATTTAAATACATATCCACAATAAATAATATTGTTACAAAGGATAATTTTTTTTAAAATATAAAAAAAATAGATGATATAGTAAGTCTAATTATTACATTTTGTTGGACATAGATTTGTAAAACATGTATTAATGGGCTTATATGTTATAAAATTAATAAGAATATGTAGAGATTTCTACCATAACATATAATTTTAATTAAAATGTTTTTATTGGTCAATTTAAATTACATGTTCCTTAAAATCCTCTTTGAAGAACACATGATTTTTTACCTTAATATCTTCTCAATTAATATATAGCATAGAGGATTCATATATATCATTTCCATACTTCACTTACAGTATATACATCCATCAATTTTTGCCAGCCATTGAAACAATATTAATATATTAGTTGCGGTGTCTTGGTTAGCTATTAATTTTTAAGAATAATGTCACCAGGAGCATTAGTGGGATCTTATTATTTGAAATTAATAAATTGTATTAGGTGTCATGTTCCATATGGTTGTATAATGGAGTGGTTAGACTTGATTTTGTCATTCTCTTAAATCTAACAAGCCCAAAAAAATATGCATATATAGAAATACATCTCTAAATCTTCCATATTTTGAGAAAAGTTTGACACAAAGAGAACTCAGAAAGTCTATTAAAAAAAAAGGTAAAAAACAAAGATTTAGTAGAATTGAAAACGTCATTAGAACCACTAATTAAAAAGTGTGGTTGTTATGTGTTACATTCTTGCTAAAAATAAATAACTTCGAGCCTAACAAAGAAATTAATTTATTTAAAGTAAGATATGTATAAATATTCATTTTATAGATCCACAATCAAATGGAGTAATTTACTTTTTTTTTGTTTTGATCGAAATGGAGTAATTTACTATTCAATAGTGAACACTGCCCGAAAAGAGTTTTCATGGATTCAAGCGATTTCTGCATCAATATTGTCGGAAGTTTAAAATAACATTTCCAAAATTTACAAAAATTACCCAATAAAGATGGACTTTGCTGCAAACCACCACCAGTAGACACCTGAAACAAAAAGGAAAAATAAACAAATTCGTAAACAATTTAAAAGCAAAATGTATATACGAAAATATCTGGACTTTATTTAATTATTTTCTCCATATTTAATTAAATTTTTCTTTTTCCGATAACAAAAAGAAAAAACAGCTTTTTTATGACATATTTAATTGCGACTAAATATTTTACGTTTTCTAATCATTTTCTGAGAATTCCATATTTCTCTTCTTCATTCTTAGCCATT